CCTTCTTCAGCAGTCTTTACTTTTGTCTTTTCATTTGATCCATCTATTTTTACATTCTTGCCTTATCTAACCCCTCCTCTCTGCTTTCCCCTGTCTGTCTGTCTGACTTTCTTCCCTTCACTTAGCTCTTTGTTGATTGCAGCCGAGTGAGTGCACAGGTAGCTGAACTCAGTGGTTTAAAGACACTGCAGCTCAGTGTGGCTGAGATGGAATATGGGGGAAAGTATGGGAGAGCTGTATTTACTGAGAAAGACAGTAAAGGAGAGGGAGAGGGGATGAGTTGTTTTGGAAGTGGGGTGGTTTTCATTGAAGTTGGCTCTGGTCCACAGAGAGATTTACAAGCCAGAGAGAACATATGGTCACACTTCTTCTTCCCTTCCTGCCGTTAGCACATTCAAGCTCCCTTTATATTTCAGACACGTGCAAACACATACCAAAAGGTAAAGGGAAATGCATGTATGGAGAAAGGACACCTCTGAAAGTATGAACTGTCAAGGGTGATAATAAGGAAAAGGCTGCACTCTAGTGGTTACATTCAATAACACCTTCACTGTAAAACAGGCACAAACTGTAGGGCCTGCAAGTAAAAATCACAAAATGTATTTTAATCAAAAAAGTTATGAAGCCATAATTTCGTGAATACTTTGGTTTTAAAGTTGTTTTTTGACTCCGTTTCCTCTTAAAATATTTTATAAAACCATGCTCTAAACATTTTCCCTGAGTAAGTTCCTCTCAAAGTGCAGAAGAAGTACTGAATATTAAATTGAGGAGAAAACACGATACAAAAAAAACATGAATAAGTAAAACAGAAAAATTATAAAATAAACATATCCTTGAAAAAAAGTATGTGCATCCTGTTGGTAAAGCAGCAGCATGTCTGTGAGTGTTTTGTTTGTTGTGATTTAGGGAAATGCGAGCAGCTGCCCCAGGGCCCGAGACCTTCAGGGGTCTGAAAAACCTAATAGTCAGTATATATAAGATTAACTTTGTGCTAATTTGAATAATTGCAAAGTTGTTTGGGAAAAAAAACACCATATCACAATATCACCCAAACTTATAGCAGCCTTAAAGCGGGTCTTGTTTTGTTACCTGCATTGACCACCTGTCTTGTAAAATTTGCATGACAGAAAGGATGACAAACAGGGATACAATAGAGGCCCTGAGCTAATCTTGTTACGATCAGTCCCCGAATTTAGGGACATCTTAGGCACATTGTGCAATAAAGCTTGATTATATTACACTGATGATTAAACAAGCATAATTTAACTGAACCAAATTAGCATTAACTAACCACAAAATAAAATTACCACAATAACAACATCTGCTATTGTGCGATCATCCCCTAGTCATCAGCAAAGTTCTTAGAGAGTCTTATAAGGCTTTGTACAACACCTTAAGGTGTGACATTAACTAATGCTTTTATTAAAGCATGCATGAGTCTGTAATCTCTAACACAACAGTTCTGGGGAGCTTTAAAGCCTAAAATTTCACATGTATTGTTGTTTATTGTGCTATTAGAGAAGGAATTAGGCTACTATGGCTGTAGACACCACCCTCTAATAAGGCCGCCTTTAAAGGGGGTTTAGAAGTTGCATCTACTTGTATAATTATTTTTCTTTATAGTGGTTGTAGGTCAGGTAAAGAAAAGCCTTTGGTCACTATACAGGTCGTTAAAACCCCTTCAGCTGTTTGGTTAATCATTCAGACAGTTTGACTAACCTAAGGGTTGTTTCCCAACCTGGCAACCCAAATATTTTTCTTATCAATGGCTTACAACTGATCCATGTAACTTTGTTTGTGTTTTTGTCTTTACTAAAAGAAACATTAGTTAGAAAATGGCACCACCACTAAGCCTTCTATGACAACTAACAACTCTCTTGTGCTATACTGGTTTATACTAAGCACAAGGTAATAACAGGGGTGGAAGTACTTAGATATTCTACTTCAGAAAAAGTAGCAATACCACAGTGTTGAAATACTCTGTTACAAGTAAATGTATTCAAATTTCTACGAAGGTAAAAGTCCAAAAGGTAGTATGAAATAAAGTGCAATTAGGCTACATCAACATAAAATAATAAGAAAGAGAACAATAACAAGCTGACCATTATCCCCATAGTCACAAGTCTACCCTCCCATACCCACACCACTTCTCCACTCCCACCTCCCTCCACCCACAGAGACCCATCACTCTTCAGTCATCTCAGTTGTTGTGCAGTGCTTGCTACGGTTTGAGCTGTTGTGCTAGATTTGTGGTTGCAAGACTGCATTGTTGGAGCCTGCCTTTCAGGGCACACCTTGTCCTTTCCAAATGAAGTGTGTTAATTAAATCCTCTATCCTCCTCTCACATCTTAGAGGTAGGGACAGTTGTGCTCTTTTATAATATGAGAAACCACAAACTACAGTAATTAAAGTAATGAAGTGGAGTAAATAGCTTACTCAGCACAAGGTTATAACCCAACAACCCAAATGTTTTTCTTATCAAGCATTATAATATTTTTTATTCTTTTTGCCTCAAAAGCCATTAGTTAGAACCACAAGACATACTACTCCAACTAACAACAGCTTTCTAGGGTATAAGTGCTACTAAGCATAAGGTAATAACAGGGGTGGAAGTACTCAGATCTTCTACTTGAGTAGAAATAGCAATGCCACAGTGTGGAAATACATGACTGTTACAAGTAAAAGTCATGTATTCAACTTTTAACTTAAGTAAAAATACACAAGTATTGGCATTAACTTTACTTAAAGTGCCAAAAGTAAAATAAAATGTTTATGCAGTTTGACACATTTCTGAATAATACATTTTCTATAAATGTGTGATATTATTGGTGCCTTAATATAAACAAAATCTAAATGTTGCTGATGTTAAAGGTGCTGCTTCTTTTAATTACTTTAAATATTGCTGGGTGGCTGATAAATTCCCTTCCCACAGGATCAGTTAATACCTTTATTTGCAGATAAGATTTTGTATTAGTATCTAAATCTACTTTAGTAAAAGTAGCAATACCATAGTGTAGAAATACTCTGTTACAAGTAAAAGTCTTTACATAAAGTACCAAAAATCATCATACAGTTTCACTAATTTCATAACAATCTAAATTCTGTATAATTGTATTATAATTATTGATACATTAATGTGTATAATACCTTAATGCTGCTGATGATAACGTTAAAGTAAATTTTAGTTACTTTAGATCAGGGGTGTCAAACATACGGCCCACCAAAGGGTCCAATCCAGCCCACTGGCTGACTGGACTAAGAGGTGCCAAGTTTCAGGAGCATTTTAAACAATGCCTACTCCATGTAAAATTCTGTTTTAGAGGCTTTTCCACCCTGACCAGGATACAGTTTTCTAATATAACAATAAATACTTACTGTGACCATGTTTACAGATATTGAACATTGTACAAACTATTGTCATTTAGCAGCCTCAGTTCAAAAGAATCTGTATCAGGAAATGTGTGGATAAATGCACATGTAATGACAGTCTGAGTGAATGTGGAAAAACTGAGACATATTGTTAAAACTGCACTTACATTTCTTAAGACATCTCAGGCTGTTCATCTGTTTTGTAAAAGGATAAACATCTAGAGAATGTAATTGTAATTCTTTACACACAAAAAAGGGAAAACATTGGAGCTGATGGTGCTTATGGGTTATTGTGTGATGGTTTTATTGGAGATCAAATTGGGCTGCTGTGGCCCATGAACTAAAATGAGTTTGACACCCCTGCTTTAGATACTGCTGGGTAGCTGGTATATTTAGATTTTGTACCATTAATCTGAACCTCCAAGTTATCAAATAAATGTAGCCTAGTGGTGTAAAAAATACAATATCTTCCTGTGAACTGAGTTTAAGTAGCAGAAAATGGAAATACTGGACAAACAAGTACCTCAGTATTGTACCTAAATAGAGTAAATGTTCCCAGTTACTTTCCACAGCTGGGTAAAAATTATTCATATCCCATTAGTGCTTTTTGATGATTACTTTCGCATGCACACAACTATTTTTTTAATCATTCTTTATTCAAATAATACAGTACAAGGACTCAATATACAGCTGACAGGATACAAAACCCAACAATAACAGAAACGGAAAGCCAGGGGGATAACATACTACAAAAGGATATTATAAGACATACAAATGTCAAGTGTCCTAATAGCCTTTTTGTTGGTTGAATCTAAAAGCAGTTTCAAATAGTGTTCAACATCCTTTTGTAGAGGCATGGTCCATGATAAATCTGCAAAAGTCCTTCCAGAATTTCTTGGTGTGAGAACAAAGCCATAAAAGGTGTGACACAGTTCCAGAATATTCATTGCAGAGAGAGCAGTATGTGTTAATGTCCTTTTTTTGTATTTTTGCATGTAGTGATTGGCAGGGTTGTATTTATGAATAATTTTAAAGGACACCTGCTTAACCGTATTCACAATCAGGTGTTTATGAGGAAGCATCCAAACTTTCTTCCAATATATAAATAATTTACAAGCTGATTCCAATATGCCACAATATATGAAATAGAGACATCTTGTTAAATAGGGCACATATGACTCTATTATTTTTGGGAGATTGGGAGATTTTTCTTAGTGTAGTCAGCGGCATAGGGGAAAGGTATCAAAAACTGTAGCAAATTCCTTAGGGGTTACTGGAAAATTATACATAGATAAGAATTAAACCCAACTCTGAAAGGAAAGTGATTTTCTCTTGGCACACCACCACTACACACGTGTCTCTCATTATACTCTGACTTCACACCAACAGACCACTGTAGTTTCCAAGCTAGTTTGCCGTTGGTGAGCGGATCTACCTTTTTAATACATTCACACTCCGTTAAACTAATTGAATCATTACAAAACAAGCACACAAAGCTCTAAAAATAAGCAGCACTTTGAGATTAGCTGCACCACTGTCACCCTTTGAGACCCAGCTGACTTCCATGGACGCTCCGCCCAGCTGGGAGCGCGAGGAGGACGATGTCGGAATGATAAACTGCTTTGGGAAGTCAGTCTGTGCCGTGTGGTCACTGCTGTGGTTACTTTAATTTAGAGGCTGTTTTCTATGAGGATTTTACAGCATTTACACGTCTGTTGTTTGTTTCAGTCTTCGCGTCGCTTTACGGACCGTTTTTTTTATTTTTTCACAGTCGGTAACGATCGGTATCATCAGTTGGTCGGTGTTGACATCGTGACAGTTACACCAACGGCTCAATGATACAGTAGCTCCGGGCTGTTATAACCTTAAATTGGAAGTACTTCATGGAAACAAGAGGAATTCCCAACATTTTACTCGTCTTTTTTCCAGTTATCTCGTCTTAATTGTCAACATAAGTACATTTAGAGACTTGATAGCTTCTCATTGAACTTGTGCAGCCCAATGACTATGGGCTAACTACCACTACTTCAATGAATCCTACTGTTTGAAGACTGTTTTAAACGGAAAGTAAAAGACTGAGCTACCTCCGCTTCACTTTACAACATGTTATGAAGACAACAAACAAGTGGACTGTTTGCTGACCCATGGCTGAGGCTGTAAACATGCTTTTAACTGCATAATTCAGGTAAGTGCAACCATATTACACATGTTTCAGGCTATAAGTCATATTATGACTGTGAAATGATGGGAAAACAATATTGACTGTCTTTATGTTGTATTAAATCTCCTTATTTTTGTCATTATATATTTGTGGGTACATAACATGGTGGCTACATGCTTTTTTCATGTGTATTTTATTAAACTAATGAAAGCAAAACAACCCCAGAAGAGCCTGTAATGATATTCCCCAGTGATGCCCAGTGAAGCAGAAGAGGCCATGTTTTCTGACGTCACAACATCACCCCCACAGTCATAACATGCCCTGGAAAGAGTCACTGTACCATGAATGAGGATGACCAATCCTTTATGTAATAAGCCTATAAAAAGTTACTTATTACATAACAATTTCTAGCAGAAATTATGTGCACGGTAATTTCATAATGTGTAAAGTGTTTCTGCTTGACAAGTGTTACACAGTCCTCTCTGTGTGGCTCAGTAGTTGGTACTTGAAGGGAGCTCAGTGTCGTTTGAGTCACACACCACTGAGATGTATGTTCCTCATGCACATGTCAGGATTAAAGGGTAACTTAAGATGACTCATGAGCCTTCACGCTCCGCTCAGACAGGAGTTCAAATTTAACCAGGGTTTTTATACCACGCAGCGCAGCCTCACATATTCATATTTTTACACCACAACTGAAGTTGCTGTCAGTCAAGCGTCATAACTATGTGTGTGTACCATTTTAGGCTGTGCCCCAGACGGTGCAAAGCGCCATGGCATCAACGCGCCAGCACACATTAGGATAAGGCATGACTGATTGCCCTTAGTGTAAGTGAGATGGACACTCCTCTGTGCTCGGTGTCAGGGTGGGGTTGCGTTTACACACACACACACACACACACACACACATGCAAATCCATGTGTGTGTTCCTCAGGCACCTGTTGGCATAGGTTGTGGAGCGCCACCTTAGCTGAGGGTGTGTTTACAATCTGATTCCCCTCAACAACAGCTGAATGTCTCCACTATGTGTCTGCCTGCGAAAGACCCCCCAAATTGCAGTTCATTATGTGCGAGTTTTCCCTGACTGTGTCTCTGTTGTCTGCCTGTCTTCGTGTGTGCCCTAACTGTCAGTGTCTAGCTATTTGTGAAGATGCACATTATACACATTACCCTGCGCATGCTAGTCATTCCAAGACGCTGTTATGCCCCCTAAGGGCGACCTTGAGGCCAAGATAAGATGATAAAATGTGGTTGCATGATGCTAAAAGTGACTTCTTACAGCACAGAGAAGTGTTGAGTCATTTGTGTTGCAACGCCAGAAATCACAGACTGATGGAGGCCACGTAGGTGAGAGTTAAAGAACCTTTCAAAACATTAGACATGAGCTGTGTGCATCCTACGCACTTTAGCATTCATTGTGTGCTGTCAATTCTCTCAGATCTTACTTATTGGAACAACATGGAGATTTTGTTTGCACACTCTTCTGTCCCACTGACTATAGCTCGAAATCAAAGAGGGATCTAATAGCTGAGTACTTAAAATGTCCAGAGATTTGGTTACGGCGAATAATGAAAAGTTTTGTGCTTGTTTTCATGTGTGTGTTATGCTCAGAGCCCAGCGAATCGATTTGACTTCTCTCTGATCCTCCGTGCCCTCTACTCTCTCTCTATGTGGCCTATCATTAGTGCTATACTTAGCCACGCTTATCAGTTCCCTGGGTAAGACCACAGATGTTTAAGGGCTCAGAATAGCTCAGAGTGTAGCAGACTGTAGACACAGGATCTCAGATGCACTGACACGGGGTCAGAAATTGACAGGCGCTTGGGGCGAAAACTCCCTTGAAAGTTCAGGAAATGCCCTTCAAATTATAAATCCCAAACACTGTAATATATAGCAGCACTTTTTACCTTATTCACATTTTACTTTGCAATTGATTTTCATGTGTCGGTGGGAGTCTTTGGTGAGGTGATTGATATACCCTGAAGTCTTAAAAATTTCAAAGGCTGTGATGAAAAATGTTGACCTAAATTACAGCATCAGTGGGTGAATCGGGAAATGATAGTGAGAGATGGCATGGCTGAGGAAAATAGCCCTGCCTTGATTTGTGGAAGATGAGGAGCGACGTTTAAGTGTTAGACGTTAAACAATAAACTTTTTTATTACATTTTTCTAGCAAGTGATACATTTACAGCGTCCTCATTTGCACTGTGATATGTGGTAACTGTTCTTTTGAGATTGCAGGTTGTATATAAGTGATGTTTTCTGCACAGAAAGCAGCACTATTATATGGAATGGGTTGAGTGTTTTTCACCGTGTATGAGTCTCTCTGTTCTTTTACTCCAAATAGTGTGTTTGCACAGGTGTCATTATGAACACAATGCAGGGTGGTAGCAGCTAATGTGTGGTCATTATTGGCCCGATGATGACATTTATTGCCAAGACACAATGAGCCGTTGCTGAAATGTCAGAAATATTTGACTCAGCTTGGAATAGGCTTGTTTCACAGCAGATATTGTGACATGTTATAGTAGGAAAAGCACAAATTTTAATGGTACGATTTCCTCATTGATTCCTTGTTTTGTCTCTGAGTCTGAACACAGTGGGGCTACAGTCTGTCTGTCATCATGAGAGAATATTTGTACAATCTTTGTTTTAGTGTAGGTTTTCTTAGTCCAAGAAAGAATCAGCTAAGCCGGCCTGTTTGGTGCTAATGTTATTATAACATAGAATATTTACCCTCGGTAGTGGACACGGTGCATAGTTGGGAAGCAGTGGCACTCATGCTGAGAGCATCAAATACATGGCATCCCTTAAATTTAAGCACATATTGCATAGGAAGATGTCTCAGCATATTGCAGGTGTGTCCACCTTTGCTTTATATTATCATTTTACAGGGATCACAGGCAACTGTTGTAATATTTCCTTGTCAAATGAAACCATGTTGGGGACTTTTTCTTCTCTCTGCCATTACTCCTTATTGTTGCAAGTTTCCAGCAGCGTAGAAACAGTTTGATGTCATTGTTTTGCAATGCACAGTTGTCAGAAAAACATGCTGGCATCGAGTTTCAAGGTATATAATTCAGCTTTGCTGGAGCACAATAATTTGTTTAATCTAAATCTCCTGCATACCATTGGTAGACCCAGACAGGTGTTTTCACTTTGCATGATTAGACCTGATGTCTGGACTGTATGAGCGTTTTCACAGACTGTGCTTGATTGATTCCATCTCTGTCCATTATCTACCTGAACAGAGGTGCACAGAACACCTGCGTGCATGTGCATGGTCTGTAAGTAGAAATAAATAAAAGAAAAAGTTAGAAGAAGCAGATAAAGACAGGCACTTTCTGTCACAAATGCATTTCCTGTCATTGCTGTTACTATTTGTCTGGCAGTACTTAATATGATGTGTGGACTGCATGCTGTTCCTTTATTGATGGCAGAAGCGTGGCAGATTCAGTATGTGCCCCACCAGGTGTCTGCACTTGTCAGCATGTCACCTGTCATGGATCTTATATCAGCTTCTCTGACAGATAAAATGAAGTGTGTGCCTCTGCTTCATCCAGTCACTCTGTGTCTTATTAGCCTCAGGTGATGTAACCGCTCTGAGCTTGCACTACACCAGGCCGTGGGCTTGCTCTCTTTAAAACCTTTACGTCTCATGCAGTAATCCCTCGAGGCTTTGAGTCATGTGATATTATAGAGTCTTTATGTCCTTGGGACAAGACATTGGATGACTGATGTGCTGGAGACTGCAAGCTTAGTTTTGAAAGTAAAAGTTTGCTTTCAGCATCTCTGCACAAACAGTGCTGAGTCACTCTCAATCACAGTGTGCGACCTGCTGCACTCTGCATGAATCTAGTCTAAATGGGTGTTTCTCTCAGACATAATGGGTTGTTTCCAGAGCACTGCCCAGTTAATAAAACATGCCAGAGTGTCTCTGTTCTTGTGCTACTGTACCAGTTTCATTTGGCACTCTCGTTTTGGCCACTCAGTACTAGCATATCATTAGCACTCTTAAATTTTCATTTTACCCAGGATAGCAGGGCGTATTTGGTGACACACCAGTAAATTTAAGCTCTGGATCTGATGGCTGAGGTGTTATTGAGACTGTAGTGATATTAGACTCATTACTCATGTCCTGCTCAAAGGCAAAAACAAATGCTGTTCCAATACCAGCTGTCCCCTGCACAGACATGAAGTAGATATTCAAATGTTGTGTTTGCATGGAAGGCTCAACGGCAGCATGTAATAGCAACACATAATGGACTTCATTGTGCTCGGTGCCTTTCTGGACTCAAAGCAATTTACACAGCAGGGGTTTATCTGGCCACAACCACCACCAATGAGTATTCAGTCAGTTTATCCCAGAAGGCTCCCGAGGAGAATAGAAAGGTTACTCTTTTGTATCAGACACTCTTTTGGATAGGTTCCTCTTGAGTTTCATCAGTTGACCAAATAGCTCTAAACCCTGTGAAAAATTGGACACAAAGGCCTGGCATTTGATGGATGTGTACCACCAACTGTGGCCTTATTTGCTTTGCCAGGCTACATGAGAGACTGTTTGCTATCTACTGTACAAACATGTGCTGCTGAAAAAAAGAAATACAGTCTGGGGGGAAGCATTTGTTAAGAGCGACAGCCTGATGGAGTGAGTGGAAAGGAAGGAGGCACAGGAAAAGAGGGAAGTTGGGCGTAAGGAAGTAGCAGTGTATTGTCCATTCACAGAGGATAAATCCAACAGGAACATGATCTATTAAAAGCTTACTTAGACTATGTTTCATATCCAGGGCCTTAACATGAGATTCATTCTCTGAAAGCCACACCTCTCACCTCTCATGACAGGCCTGTGTTTTGCAATGTACCTTTGTAGCGATAAAGAATGAGTCAACGTTAGCATAGGCCTTATCAAAACAAATGCCTAACGAGCAGCACATGATGGAGATGTTTGAAATGAACTCTTCATTGATCCTGTAGAGAAAGTGATGTTGTTGTTCTGATATTAAAGAACAGCTTGGGGAAAGGC